AATAAATAGAAAATTTTTTTAGAAAAAAAAATATCGGCCGGCCGAAGGCCGGCCGCTTCCTGAGAGTATGACATCTTGGGGGGTAGTTTTAATGGGCTTTTCAGGAAAAATACCGCTGGGTATACCGCTGGCCGAAGGCCCGAGCTTTCATTACATCTAAAAGGCAGAGCAAGTGACTCTAAGTGGGAGGAAGAGTCCAATCGAAGGGAAGACGAGGGCCGAAGGCCCGAAGTGACTCTAAATGGAAGGAGGAGTCCAATCGAAGGGAAGACGAGGGCCGAAAGCCCGAAGTGACTCTAAATGGAAGGAGGAGTCCAACGGAAGGGAAGACGAGGGCCGAAGGCCCGAAGTGACTCTAATTGGAAGAATGAGTCCATTCGAAGGGAAGACGAGGGCCGAAGGCCGAAAAGCCGAAGGCCGAAGGCCCGAAGCAATAGTCAAAGGCAGAGCATAGATCTTCCGAGGCCGAAGGCCGAGGAGTAGGCGAGGGCCGAAGGCCCGAGCTTTCATTACATCTAAAAGGCAGAGCAATAGTCAAAGGCAGAGCTCTTCCTTTGACTATTGCTCTGCCTACGGTGGGCCGAAGGCCCGCCGTAGGCCCGCCGTAGGCGAGGGCCGAAGGCCCGAGCTTTCATTACATCTAAAAGGCAGAGCAATAGTCAAAGGAAGAGCATAAATCCTCCGAGGCCGAAGGCCCGAGCATTCATTACATCTAAAAGGCAGAGCAATAGTCAAAGGCAGGGCATAGATCCTCCGATGCCGAAGGCCGAGGAGTTCGGCGGGCCGAAGGCCCGCCGATGGCGAGGGCCGAAGGCCCGAGCTTTCATTACATCTAAAAGGCAGAGCAATTGTCAAAGGCACAGCATAGATCCTCCGAGGCCGAAGGCCGAGGAGTTCGGCGGGCCGAAGGCCCGCCGTTGGCGAGGGCCGAAGGCCCGAGCTTTCATTACATCTAAAAGGCAGAGCAATTGTCAAAGGCAGACATAATCCTCCGAGGCCGAAGGCCGAGGAGTTGGCGGGCCGAAGGCCCGCCGTAGGCGAGGGCCGAAGGCCCGAGCTTTCATTACATCTAAAAGGCATAGCAATAGTCAAAGGAAGAGCATAAATCCTCCGAGGCCGAAGGCCGAGGAGTTGGCGGGCCGAAGGCCCGCCGTAGGCGAGGGCCGAAGGCCCGAGCTTTCATTACATCTAAAAGGCAGAGCAATGTTCAAAGGAAGAGCATAAATCCTCCGAGGCCGAAGGCCCGAGCTTTCATTACATCTAAAAGGCAGAGCAATAGTCAAAGGAAGAGCATAAATCCTCCGAGGCCGAAGGCCGAGGAGTTGGCGGGCCGAAGGCCCGCCGTAGGCGAGGGCCGAAGGCCCGAAGCAATGAAAAGGCAAGGCTAAACTTTGCCGGCGAGGGCCGAAGGCCCGAAGCCATGAAAAGCAGGGCTAAACTTTACTGGCGAGGGCCGAATGCCCGAAGCAATGAAAAGGCTTAACTTTAACGGCGAGGGCCGAAGGCCCGTAGCAATGAAAAGGCAGAGGTAATCACACATATTCCTCGCATTCAAAAATTCTAGCAGCGCGCGAAGCGCGCCCCAAAGCCGATAGGCTTTCCAACGGGCAGAGCCAAATTTAAACCCAAAGCAAAATTTTACCGCCAGAGTATGCTATTCGCGCCATCGCATACGTAACTACAGCTAGTTACATTATACCTATAATAAATAGAAAATTTTTTTAGAAAAAAAAATATCGGCCGGCCGAAGGCCGGCCGCTTCCTGAGAGTATGACATCTTGGGGGGTAGTTTTAATGGGCTTTTCAGGAAAAATACCGCTGGGACCATACGATGAACTTTTGGCACTGAAACGGCCGTGGCGAAGTGGCCAAATCCTGAACCGTCCGTCGGATCGAAAAACGCTTGCTGGGAGGAAACTAAGTTGGACTAAGGCTAATCCAACAAAAAAAAAATTTCGAAAATCCGATGAACCCCCGGGGACTTATGGGTGCGCAAAAATTCACCGATTGACGGTGAAATGTCCAATTGTGTCGGACCAAATTTTTATCTTTGGAACGGATGGGCCGAATTGAATGGGACCAAAGGGGTTATAGGTAATCGACCATGGGGAATTTTTTGTGTTAGGTCGTTTTGGTGCCGCACTCAAGTGTGGCACTGAAACGGCCAAAAATCAAAAAAACACCGAGGCCGAAGGCCGAGGAGTTTGGCGGGCCGAAGGCCCGCCGTAGGCGAGGGCCGAAGGACCGAGACGTTTTGGTGCCGCACTTGAGTGTGGCACTGAAACGGCCAAAAGTCAAAAAACGCCGAAAGGAGAAGTTGGGCGGGCCGAAGGCCCGCCGTTGGCGAGGGCCGGAGGCCCGAGACGTTTTGGTGCCGCACTTGAGTGTGGCACCGAAACGGCCAAAAGTCAAAAAAACGCCGAGAGGAAGAGTTGGGCGGGCCGAAGGCCCGCCGTAGGCGAGGGCCGAAGGCCCGAGCAAGAGTCTAACATTGGCGTTTGGGGGCCGAAGGCCCCCAAACGCCTCGGGACAACCCACAACAGTTGTCGAATGCACCACAGCGATCAAACCCATCGCAAGAGTCTAACATTGGCGTTTGGGGGCCGAAGGCCCCCAAACGCCTCGGGACAAACCACCACAGTTGCCAAATGCACCACAGCGGTCAAACCCAAAGTAAAAGTCAAACATTGGCGTTTGGGGGCCGAAGGCCCCCAAACGCCTCGGGACAACCCACAACAATTGTCGAATGCACCACAGCGGTCAAACCCAAAGCAAGAGTCTAACATTGGCGTTTGGGGGCCGAAGGCCCCCAAACGCCTCGGGACAACCCACCACGTTGCCGAATGCACCACATTGGTTAAACCCAAAGTAAAAGTCAAACATTGGCGTTTAAGGGCCGAAGGCCCCCAAGGCGAGGGCCGAAGGCCCGAGCATTCATTACATCCAAAACGCAGAGCAATAGTCAAAGGTAGGGCACGGCGGGCCAGAGGCCCGCCGTAGGCGAGGGCCGAAGGCCAGAGCATTCATTACATCTAAAAGGCACAGCAACAGTCAAAGACAATGCACGGCGGGCCTGAGGACCGCCGTTAGCGAGGGCCGAAGGCCTGAGCTTTCATTACATCTAAAACGCAGAGCAATAGTACCCACCACAGTTGCCGAATGCACCACATCGGTTAAACCCAAAGCAAGAGTCTAACATTGGCGTCAAAAGAGTCTAAAGCAAGAGTCTAACATTGGCGTCAAACCCAAAGTAAAAGTCAAACATTGGCGTTTGGGGGCCGAAGGCCCCCAAACGCCTCGGGACAACTCACCACAGTTGCCGAATGCACTACATCGGTTAAACCCAAAGCAAGAGTCTAACATTGGAGTTTGGGGGCCGAAGGCCCCCAAACGCCTCGGGACAACCCACCACAGTTGCCAAATGCACCACAGCGGTTAAATCCAAAGCAAGAGTCTAACATTGGCGTTTGGGGGCCGAAGGCCCCCAAATGCCTCGTGACAAGCTACCACAGTTGCTAAATGCACCACAGCGGTCAAACCCAAAGCAAGAGGCCGAAGGCCGAGGAGTTGGCGGGCCGAAGGCCCGCCGTAGGCGAGGGCCGAAGGCCCGAGCATTCATTACATCTAATAGGCATAGCAATAGTCAAAGGCAGGGCACGGCGGGCCGGAGGCCCGCCGTGCGAGGGCCGAAGGCCCGAGCATTCATTACATCTAAAAGGCAGAGCAATAGTCAAAGGCAGGGCTAAACTTTACCGGCGAGGGCCGAGGGCCCGAAGGAATGAAAAGGCAAAGCAAGACTTTACCGGCGAGGGCCGAAGGCCCGAAGCAATGAAAAGGCAAAGCAAAACTTTACCGGCGAGGGCCGAAGGCCCGAAGCAATGAAAAGGCAAAGCAAAACTTTACCGGCGAGGGCCGAAGGCCCGAAGCAATGAAAAGGCAAAGCAAAACTTTACCGGCGAGGGCCGAAGGCCCTAAGCAATGAAAAGGCATGGCTAAACCTTTCTTTACAGGCATCCAAACATTCTAGCAGCGCGCGAAGCGCGCCCCAAAGCCGTTAGGCTTTCCAACGGGCAGAACGCTATTAAACCTAAAGTATCCTAATAGGAATTGCATACGCACTACGCCGCCATACCCCAATGGGCACAACTAGTTTAATAAAAATAAAAAAAAATAAATTTATTTATTTAATCCCTTCGAGACGTTAAATTTTTTGTTTAAATACTCTTTAAATTAAATAAAATAAACAAAAATAAATATTTTTATTGAGAAATTAAGGATAAATATTATTTTATATTTTTTTAAATTAAATTATACGTATAAAACATCATAAAAATATACTTAATATATTTGCAGTAATATTTAAAGGATTTTTTAAAATGTTGGAATATATTTAGAGTAGGGCTTAATATTAAGGAGAGGGCCGATTTTAAGTGGATCGTGGTGAACTTGTATTTGAGGAACGCGAGGATGGGGGATTCCGGTAATAGCTCCCCTTTTTTCCACACTTCCCTGACCATTATGGCCTTTTTTGCTTGATATACTATAATTTTTATATATCATTCGAAAGAGCTCTAGGAGCTTGGTCGAATCAACTCAGCTCGAAGAGTTCTTTCGAATACTATATAATTTGATATAAAATGAGAAAAAAAAATACAAAATGATAGAAAGAAAAAAAGAGGGTGGGGGCGACCTCCAAACTATTACCGGGATTCCCCGCGAGCTTCCTCATGGGTTGAATTGCCCTGAAAATTCCATTCACTGGGGAACGGGGATCGAGCCCTAATTTAAAGATACACACCGTAATTTCCTGAAATAATACTGCCCCCTCAAATACTACTGCCCTTTAGAGGAGGGTTGAAATTGTCAGGAAATCTGGTATATTCAATTCTTTGTTTAATTTAAAATTAAAGAATAAATTTATTAAAATTTCTTTTCACCTTTTCACAAAATTCAAATATATAATTTAATAAATATTTTTAAATTTTAAAGAATCAGCAGAAATGGATTTGGGCAATAAACGTCCAAGAACAACAATTTCAGCAAAAAGTTTAGAAATGTTAAAACATGCATATCAATGTAGTAATAAACCTGCTAGACATATTCGTGAACAATTAGCTAGCCAAACTGGTTTGGATATGAGAGTTGTTCAAGTTTGGTTTCAGGTATATTTAATTAATTTTGAAATAATTAAATTATTTTTTATAGAATCGGCGTGCTAAAGAAAAACGTTTAAAGGTTGAGTTATTTTAATAAGAAAAAACACTTTTAACATAGGAAATAACTTTAAAAAATAAAAATTAGTAAATACAATAATTATGTAAATGAACTGATAAACTTGTAACTTTCGAAAGTTGTTTCGGTTCCTTGAAATTTTTTGTGTATCCGAAACAAACTGAAAAATCAGCAAAAAGCTTAGAAATGTTAAAACATGCATATCAATTCTCTCTCTAACCGACAATTCTAAATGTGGGGGCAAAAACAGGGGATAAAACCAGACCTGCTCACGGATACTGATTCTGATATCCGTATCCGGATGTTTACGACTGATACAGGCGGATATCCGAGGCATCTTGATATTTTCTGTATCCATATCCGTATCCATAAGCAGGTCTGGATAAAACCATCAAATTTTTTTAACTAAATACACTCAAAATAATTTCAAAAATTAAATAAAAATATTCTTTTAAAGAAAGATACACATCGTCGTTATTTATCAAATAATCAAAGCGATCAACATTCTCCAGATTGTTTCAGTATAGATATGAGAAGTAATGGGAGAGGTTGTGGAAGTGGTCCCAGTTCTGTCCCTTCATCTATTGGATTACAAAATTTATTTGGAAGGAATGGAACTATAGATTCTGATTCTGGAGCGTCTAATAATGATGCTGAAAGTCCAATTTATAGTAAAAATATTTATTTCTTTTAATTTAATTTTAAATTTAAATAATTAGGTATATACACAAATCCATCAGAAATTGATGTAGATGGAAGTGGAGAATTTTGCCGTAATATTAATTTTATCTTTATTAAAATATCCTTTTTTTTATTTTTTAGCAGATCAACAAACAACATTAGATGGAGGGGAACAACAAAGACAACAACAACATTACCATAATCAACAATTAAATGTTGATTCCTTCCCAACAGGAATTGTTGTATCAGAACAATCAAAAACTGTAATTATTTTTCGGAAAAAATTATTTTAATATTAAAATTAAATTTTAAATCTAAAAAAAATAAATTTTTCTTTATTACTTTTACAGAAAATCTCTCCAAAATATATTTTTCAATTTTTAGCCCCAACCACCTCAACAACAACTTTTTTCATTTGAACAACAATTAAATATTTCAACAACAAATCAACAACAGCAACATTCTCAACCATCTACCCCCCAACAATTAAATAATCCAAATCAGTCAATTAATAATAATTTAATCTTTTCACCTCCAATTAGTTCAATTAATTGTTCACAACCTTCACAGGCAGCTTTGCTAGCTGAACAACAATATTTACTTGCTGCTGCTTTTGGTAATTAATTTTGAATTTTTCTAACTGCGTCTGACCGTTGAGCTCTAAAATATAGATATTGGTATAGTCAATGATTTTAGCTGGCCTTATAAATTATTATTGTGATTTCCTTCCCTTAATTTTCTTTTTTTTTCTTAAAGATTTCTCCTATTCTTGATTTAAAAAAGAAATAAAATTTTAATTATTTAGTTTAATATTTTCTTAAATTTTTATGTGCCCCAACCCAACCAATACAACTTAACCAACCTTTTCTTATGGTTGGTGGAATACATCAACAACAACAACAACAAAATCAACAACAATTTCCCCCAACTTCAACACCCGAATTTTACCAACAAAATTTTAATGGAATTAATTTGCCATCTACTACTCAAAATATGGCTATACAATTTTCTCCATTACAAATGCATCCTTCACATTATAATCCAATTACCCAATGAATTTTTGATGGAAGATAGTGAAAGAAAAATATTTCTGGAAAAAATTATAAAAAAATAATTTTTGTAAATACAATTATGAAAGCCCTCTTAAAAATGAAGGCCCTCCCTTCCCCCTTCTTTTCCTTTATTCTTTAATGTTAATTTTTATTTTAAACTCTGATAATTCCAAATCCAAAATATTATAAAATGTTAGATAAAAATGTAATTGTTTAATATTTTTTATATTCCAAATAATATTTTGGAATTATCCAAAAAGAATTAGAAAGGCATTTAAACTGTTAAACTGTTTATTTTATACTTCTTCTTTAATGCCTAACATTTCCCCCAATGGATTCTTTATTATAAAATTAACTCATTTGATTTATCTAAATAATTAAGTTGACTAAAAAGACATCGTTTTCAATTTTCATGCCTTGTAAATCTGCGCCAAGGAAATTTAAAAAAACAGCCAAGGAAATTTAATGTTTGGCATTAACGGGAAATTATCGTTCATTTTTTAACTGCCCAAAATTTATTTAAAGTTTTGACATAAAATTTTTATAAATTTTGTGCTATATTCTAAATATAATTAATTTTTACTGCTAGTCATTTTTTTTAATTTTAACAATTTTTTTAATTGTAGCAAAATACATAAATTAAAGTTAACCCATAAAAATGTGATTTTTTAAATAAATTTTTTTGTAATTAACACTCATATTCTTGTCTAAGAAATAAAATAACAAATTTATTAACATTTAATTTTTAAGCGAAAAATATAAAATTTTATGATAGGTTATTTATTTTAAATATTTTTTTTTCTTTCTTCTCTTTTCTTCTTTAACTTGTCACATCATCGAATAGCCTGCAAAAATAAATAAATAAATCTAAATTATTTATTTAATATTTTTTAACTGTATAGGAACATTTCCACCAATTTCTTGACTAATTAATTGTTCCAAAATTTTATTTTTAGTAGTAAAATAATCAGTCATTATCCACTCATTTCCATCCTCAAATTCAGTATCTACAAATAAACTCCAATGCATTTTAATTTTATTTTCATCATTTATTGGAGGGGGAATGTTTTCCTTTAATTTTTTAAATTCTTCAATAAACTCCTCAATTTTAAAATATTTTTCATCATTTACAGTTTCGTTAGTAAAGAGTAATGTTTTTATATTCTAAAAAAGAAAATTTATTTTTTAAATTAAAATATGTAACATACATGGCAATATTTAATTGCATCTATTGCAAGTCCAGTTGCAAGAGGGAAGTTTATTAGCAAATACTAAAAAATAGTAGTAAATATATTTAAAAATTAAAGTTAAAATTTAAATTTTAAATAATTCACTGAATTTATATTTAAAATAAATTTGAGAATTTAGACTTTTCAATTCATTTAGTTAAAGATATGTGTTTCAAAAGTATACGCGCACCTACATTTTTCGATTTTTCTGTCATATTTTTCATCATTTAGAAGTCAATATCTTCTAGAAGTCAATATCTTAGTCTAGAAGTCAATATAGAAGTCAATATCTTCTAGATTGTCCATAGATCTTCTTGTTTAGTTAATTTATATATTATAAAAAATCTAGAAGATATCAAGTATGACAGAAAAATCGAAAAATTTAGGTGCGCGTATACTCTCGAAACACAGTGTAAGTACTTGAAAACTCTAGACAAATGTCTTAGACTTTTCAGTGAATTTTTATTTTACTTAAACCATTTTTCGTCTATTTACCTCCAATTTCCCTTTCAGAATTAATTTACTCAAAAATTTCAAATAATCAGCTTGATTCGCAGGTAATTTAGTTCGAGCATATACTTTTAGTGTAAACGATCGCAATGCAGGAAACAAAGCAATTGGATCCAAATATTTGTGTAGTTTAAAGTTTAAAAACTCCATACTTTTTAAGGTAATATGTTCTAATTGAGGAAACATTTCCGGTATAAAACGCAAGAGAGCAAACTAAAATAATGGGAATATTTAAAGATTATTTCAAATTTTTACCTCATCCCTAACAATCCCCATCTCAAACGCCGTTAGTTGTTGTAAAAAGTTTGGAGTAAATCCATTAACATCATCTGCAGTAAAATGTTCATAAGGAAGACAAAGCACTTTAAGATGCTCAAATGCTTGTACTTGCTCATTCAAATCTCCAATATTTTCTACTGAAAGCACCGTCTGTAAATAACAATAATTATTTTAGAATGGGATAAACTCAGAAAGTCAAAACCAAAAAGTCAGGATCCAATAGGTCAAGTCCAAATATTTGGGAGATAAAGGATTTGCGTGTGGATTTTTGGGTGTTAAGGGGATATCGATGGATTTGGGAGTATTAAGAGGGATTTGTTGGGATTATATTAGAGACAAGACGGAAATACAAAAAAAATATCTTTATGGGACACATTTTTCCTATCTTTTCATCTCCCCAGAATAAGATGAGGACGAAATTCTTTCATTTCGTCTCTAATTAGAAAAAATGAGAGCGAGACAAATCCCGAAAACATTACTTACAATATTTGGTGCTCGTCGATGAATATTTCGAAGAACACTGAAATTAAAATAATTTTGACTAAAAATTTTTAATTAATTTTACTTTTGTGCATTCTCCATTTGAAAATCATCCAAAAAGAAAATTCGAAGACTACTCGGCAATTGTTCTAAGTGACATTCTAGTAAAAATAAAAATTATAAAAAAATTAAAATAATTTCTTCTTACTAAAATTGTTGCAATTGGAAATTGACAGGATTTGGAGTTGTTTAAGTTGTTCTAACATTAAATTGAAGCATTTAATTGTTGAGAAATGCTAAAAATAAAGAAGGGAAGGGATGTTTAGAAGGGGAATTTGTAATAAATATGTAGATAAACTTACAAAAGTGCACTTTTTGATAAATAGTGATTTTAGATTAGGCATTCGTTCTCCAATTTCTTTAAGTTCTGACCCACAAATTGAATGTAGAGAATCAATGCAAAGATGCTCAACTCTATAGCCCAAATGTAGGAGACGAAAAATGCGGTCTTGTTTTAACATTGAGTGTATTGTCAATTCTAAACAGTAACGAGCACATCTCTTCATTAAAAGACGGAAGAGATAACGACCCTGAAAATTTTGAAATTTATTTTAATCTCGATTTATTCCTTACATCAATAGAGTAATTATAGTCATCGTCTAAAACTACATCTGGGACAACAACTACATGTTCTTGAATGTTCCAACTCCTTTTAGAGGCCGACTGGAAGAGGCGAGAAACGTGTTCCATATTAAACCGATCATTTATTGGCAAAGATTGGAAGCAACGAATCTTAAAATTTTAAAAGGTTTTTAAATGAAACTAAATCTCGTTTAATACCAAAATCAATTCACCCAACTCCGAAAGCTGAGTTTGTTCTGGATTTAGCATTAGTGGAGTTGGGAAAGGTTCTCCTTGAATTGGCTGTAGTTGTTGTTGAAGTTCAAGTTGGCGTTGAGTAGGTACTCGGCGATTGTATGGGCGTCTGTACCAAGTGTAGACAATGCCATCCTCTCCAATCGCCTGCAACATTCGACCTTGCCGAGACATCTTTGACGATAGTAGACAGGCAGGTAAACCGTGAAGGGTTAGTTAATGAGTTTGATATTGAATCTAAGTGATCATTTTTGGATCCTTTTATATAATCTGTCAGGATTCCTTTAGTACTATGATGTTTTTAGTCTATTGGTGGAATTTTTGAACTTATATTTTGGAGAAATTTATAGAAAGTATGTTCCTATGTTTAATAGGAAGTTAATATAAGAAATTTTAATTTTAAATCAGTAGTAATCAAGTGGATAGAATTTTTGGATGTTTAGATGACAAAAAAACTATAATTTATGAATTTGATTGAACAAATTCAATTTCTATATAACGAGAGTAGATTTTAAATGCTGCATTTTTGATAAAACCCGCGATAGTAACTAAAACTCAATAATACACGAGAGAATTTTGACACGAGTGAATTTTAAAATTAAAAAGTCACAAGTTCAACTCGAATTTTATTTAATCCAAAATGCTTATGTTAGTATAAACTAAAATACACACTATGTGTATTAATAAATACAAAATAAGTTACAAAATCTTTATAGGTAAATTATTACATTTCTTCTGCTAAATAAAAGTTTAAATTTTAAAAAGCTACTTTAATATAATTTCTTTTATTTTTTCTGGGTATGATTACAACGCAAAAAATAAACTTCGAGATTAATAGTATATGGACCAGGGTTGCCGCCCGAAACCCGAAACCCGGCCTTTTTTTGTACCCGAAACCCGATACCCGAAATGAAAATTTTCCAACCCTAAACCCGTACCCGAAGATTTTTTGTACCCGCGGCAACCCTGATATGGACATAAGCAAAAAATATTATAATAAACATATTTATTTACAAACAATATAGAGATTATAATATTTAATTAGTTAATTATACTATTTTCGAGTATTATTATCCTCATATTCTTTAAATTCGTTAACAAATAATTCCTTCAATACATGACTTCCTCTTATATTTTCTTTACATTTAATCCATTCATTTCCTTTTTCGAGTTTAGTCCCTTTAAACAAATTTCCGAGCATTACAACTTTTTTAGAATCAGAAGTTGGGGGGATTTTGTTTAGTTTTAGTTGTTCAAATCTCTCAATAAATTCATTTGCTCTGAAATACTCCTCCTCTTCGTTTATATTATTTGGATTTGAACTTTTATAAAAATATAGTGAACGGATTTTCTGGAAAAAAAGAATATTATTCAAATTTAAAAAATAAAAATTACAGGGCAATGTTGGAATACACCAATCGCCATTTCAGTTGTAAGAAGCAAGTTGACTTTCAAATGCTTGAAAATAAAATTGTTTTAAGAGGGAAGAGGAAATAATTCTCTACTCACCTCCAACCTCCCCTTCTCATACAATCTTCTCACAAAATTCAGATATTCAGCCCGACGGATTAGTTTTTTCGCTCTGGTATAAACTCCCAATGAGATTGAACGCAATGCTGGAAATTCAACAATTTGACCCAAAACTGTGTTGTAATTAGTTGTGGGGTTTTCAATGATATCGAATTTAATGTGCTCCAATTGTGGAAAGAATTCTGGACGAAAGCGCATAGAAATAAACTGAAAAGAAAAAATTTTTGAATGAAGGCTTAAGTTGGATGGAGGCTTACATTCTCACTAACAACAAACAATTCGAGAGCCTTTAATTGTTGCGAAAAGTTAGCAGGAAACAAATCGGGCAGAATGACATCGTCTAGAATTGGAGAATAATGAAGACTAAGTACTTTTAGATGTTCAAAATCCTGTAGTTGATTAACTACATCCAAAGATCTACTTTCGATTGTAAGCATGGTCTTAAAAATATTTTTTAAATTCAAATTAAAGAGATTGTCAAAATTACAATATTTGGTGCCTGTCGACGAATATTTCCGATAGCGCTAAAAATAATAATTTTTATTAAGAAAATTTAAAAGGGCAATAAACGAGTTGGGAAAAGGAGGGAATAGAACTAGAGGTTTGCAAATGTGATTTTACCGACCTCTAAATGAACCAATTTTCCCCCTATTTTTAACTATCATACATAAACTCACTTTGCACTATTCGCAACATCAAATAAATTCAGATTAAGAATTCGAAGACTTCGAGGCAATTTCTCAAGTTCAGATCCTGAAAAACAATTTTTTATAATTTTTTGTAAATTTTTACAAACTAAAATTTGTGCAACGAACAATGGCAAAGGCCATAAGACGTTGGAATTGTTCTAACATTAAATTGAAGCCATTAATGGTATTGAAATGCTAAAAATTAAAGGGAAAAGATTGAAAAATAATCTTAAAAAAACTTACAAGTTTACATTTTAGAATAATGAGAATTTTGAGATTGGGTAAACGTTCACCAATTTCTTCAAGTTCTGAGCCACAAATTTGGTCTAATGATTCCAATTGGAGACACTCAACTTTATAGGCCAAATGGAGAAGGCGAAAAATGCGTTCTTGTTTTAACATTGAGTTTATTTGTAGACTTAGGCAATAACGAGCACATCTCTTCATTAGAAGGCGGAAAAGATATCGAATCTTAAAAATTAAAAATAAATTTTCTCGAATTTAAAGACTTGTCTTACATCAATTGAATAAGTGCCTTTTTTCAAAGAGGCCGGTGGGACAACTAAAACTTTCTGGATGTTCCAACTCCTTTTAGAGGCCGACTGGAAGAGGCGAGAAACGTGTTCCATGTTGAACCGATCATTTATTGGCAAAGATTGGAAGCAACGAATCTTAAAATTTTAAAAGAATTTTAAATGAAATTAAATCTTGTTTAATACCAAAATCAATTCACCCAACTCAGAAAGCTGAGTTTGTTTTGGATTTAGCATTTGTGGAGTTGGTGGAGGTTCTCCTTGAATTGGCTGTAGTTGTTGTTGAAGTTCAAGTTGGCGTTGAGTAGGTACTCGGCGATTGTATGGGCGTCTGTACCAAGTGTAGACAATGCAATCCTCTCCAATCGCCTGCAACATTTGACCTTGCCGAGACATCTTTGACGATGTGACGGTAGATATCCGAGGTGAAGAGAATACGGGACCACAACAATGCAAGCAGCGTGAGTTAATGAGGTATGGTTGTTGGCAGCAAAAATGTGTTGGCTTTTATAATCGAGATTTAAAGATAACTAAGCCTAATTTGCAGTGGCATCTTTAAATCTCGACTATAAAAGCCAACACATTTTTGCTACCCACAACCACACCCAATTAACTCACGCCGCTTGCATTGGTCGCTGTCTCTAACCTGCTTGGCTCTTGGCACACTTGGCTTTGCTCGTCACGACGTTATCTTCTAAGGTACAGTTTAGTTTTTTTAGTTTATCTTGGTCGTTCATCTTCATCAATTACTTTTTTCCTTTTCAGTCATCTGTATACCTTCCTGCGCTTATCTCATTTCCGGAGCTCTCAACAGATTCTTCAGGAATGCCGCCGCAGCTCGTCGAGTTATCGCCAGGGATGAAAGTTGCGGAGAAATGGACGATCATCAAAAAGCTTGGTGCCGGTGCATTCGGAGCTGTCTACCACTGCAAATTCGGCTTGAGGGAAGGGGCTCTCAAAACTGAGCCAGTCGATGCGTCAATGCCGCTACTAGCAATGGAGGCCCATGTTCTTCAGGAACTGCACCGCATAAAGGACGACCGTCACTTCACTAAGTGCTTCGACATCGGCAGGGACAGTCAGACCATTGGACCTGCTGGAAAGGTGTCCTTCAACTATATTGTGTAAGAATTTTGGATTACATACTATACGGGTAGAACGGGGTTTTTTAGGGAGCAGTAAATTAAGCAGTAACTTACCTTTTTCTTTTAGGATGTCGCTGGTTGGCCCAGGACTGGACAAACTCGTCAAAGCTCGACCTGGTCGACGCTTCTCTCCTGGTACAGCGATCGGCGTCTCAATTCAGATGGTCAACGCGCTACGGGCTCTTCATGGCATTGGATATCTCCACCGGGATATCAAGCCGGCCAACACGACTACCGGACGGAAGGAAGAGGGAGAACAGCAGATAATCTACGTGCTTGATTTTGGGATCGCGAGAAAGTTCATGCACTCAGATGGGTCGTTGATGCGTCCAAGGGAGTCTGCACGTTTCCGAGGGACTCCACGTTATGCGGCTACATCAGCACACATCAAAAGAGAATACGCACGTAAGGATGACATGGAATCCTGGTAAGTCACTGATAGACGAGTTTCTTTCCTTCAAATTCTAACTTTTTCCCTACTAGGTTCTACATGATGGTCGAAATCTATGCCGGCAAACTTCCTTGGAGCGGTGTCGGCGACATGGATGCGGTACGAAATTTTGAGAAATTCTTAACTACTAAATAATTAATTGATTTTGCAGATTGGTACGTTCAAAGAAGCTCGACTCCCGAACAATCAACTGAAGGTGCGAACTGATGCTGTGCGTGCCCTCGTCGCTGGTTGCCCTGACGAATTCATCACTATCCTGAGGCATATAGACGAGATGCGTTTCTACGGTCGTCCAGACTACAGCTGGATAATGAAGATGCTGCGCGCATATCTCACCGAGAACAGGATCCCTGAGCATCCATATGACTGGGAATGAGGAATGTGAAAGATAAAATTGAGATATTTCACCCTATTGATTTTCCTCATGATTGTATAAATATTTCGACATTCGTTTTCGCTATAATTGTATTTTACTGTATTGTATTGCTATATTTGTATTGTGTTTGTATGTATATGTAAATAATTC